ACACATGTTTACTGACTTTACAAAGCAACAAAAGTTTGGATTTATTTTGGATTTTCTCTAATCCACACTGGGACAAAAGTATATATACAGAGTCAAACATATACACAGGACCACTTAAATCTTTTCAGAAGTGGTGCCGAAAGTTCTAAAATATCTTTTAACTTGACAAAGCCAAGGCATACTAACTTCTCGTTAGTAATAATGATTGACAATTGGAAGTTTCTTTTTGCCAGCAAAAATGATTTGTTTGACACCACTCATTGGACTCACCAACACAAAATAATTCGTATTTCGATGAAGCTATCGGTGGATACAGTAAATCCACCAAATCCAGAAAATTTGGCCAATCATCAGGAAATCAGGCGGGGAAAGCAGTGCTCCACCACTGCTGACTTCGACTAAGGGCATAGACAAGCAGTAGAAGGAATACTTTGTGGACCTCTTTAATCCTACTGACACGTCTTCTGTAGAGGAAGCGGGGTTACTGGAAAGGAGAGTTTGTCCATTAGTTGAACCCCAGATTTGGGAAGAGCAATATGGTTGTCTTGCGCTGGTGGAGCGCTGGACCGTCTCTTTATCCTGTTGAGGATAACTGAGTGTGCATGGGAGTTTGCCAACCAGTCTGCATGTGTTTTGTGACTTCAAAGTCTGAGGCCATGGTCTTCAGCCAGAACAGGTGGAGTGCTCACTCTGGAGTAGGGACATGTTTCTGGAGGAATTCAAGTATTCTAGGATCTGGTTTGAGTGAGGAAAGGGGGGGAGCAGGAGACAAGTTATTCAGATGTGTCACTACTTTGCCAAGGTTTGGAAGAAGATTCGAACAATCACAGTTTTGTTTGAACTGTGCTCCAATAATAATCACATCAACAATGTGCATTTTATTAAGCACATGTTGTATTAATATATGCAACAACTCAACAACTTAATTGTGATAAGTGGATTAAAAAAAAAATACAAATCCTTTGTATTTACCTCACTGAAACCACGTGCCTGTGCACATGTCAACTTCCTAGTTTTTTTTTATCAATAAATTTAAAGTTTAAAAAAACGTCCCACTGAAATCGATGTAGTTTTTTTTAATATTTTGCTTTTTGTGTAGTTCTTTTTTAATATTTGTTAGAATATCAGCGGTATCACTAAATTAAAGAGAAAAAAGTAAAAAATAAGAAAGAAATAGGGGGAAAATACACCTCGTAATCTGATTGGTGGTTGATAGGCAATGCGCAACATACAGCGTTTTCATTGGACAAATTATTGTTATTCGGAGAAACCGGAAGAAGCCTTAACCTTCACAGGCAATGAAACACATGGATTCCAGGGTTACGAAAAAGGCTTACATTGAACTGAATTTGCCGGTTTTACGCTAAAACTCAACACTACGTGGATTTAGTATCGTTTTTTGGTCTTCATGTGGACGTCGCTTGGTATCCAACGATGAGGTTCCCCTGTCTGTTTGCTACCAGAGGATGTAGAGCGGTTTACAGACTCCATCAAAAGCAGTTTTTATCGCCGGTTCCACCTCTCTGGGAACATCGGAGCAGCGCTGCTTTGAGCACTCAGCTATGCAAAGATGACAGAAGTTACTATATAACGACTCCCATCTTCTATGTCAACGCTTCACCTCATTTAGGACACCTTTACTCAGCTGTCTTAGCAGACTGCTTACACAGGTACAAACTACTGCAGGGATTTAACTCAAAGTTTGCAACAGGTAAATCTTCCATTTACGCTAAGTGTTCGTTTTTCATGTTACTTTAATTAATGGGTGTCTGTAGGTATTAAGGTCTTTGTTATACACCATTTAAGCCTTACATTGAACAGATCAGGGCAAACGAGAAAATGGTATAACAGAGAAGAAAAGACTAAGATGTTGACATAAAACTGTTCTGTGATCACCTTATAGTTTTGACATTTTGAAACTGTTGAAAAAGTAAATTAGTTCGTTTTCTGTTTTATATGATTGTGAGTGGAATGTATTTGAATTTTAATCATTATTATTGCTCAGTTGACTTTTTGGCTTTTGATGATGCTCTTGTTATGTTTGTAATACTTTCAGGCACTGATGAACATGGCTTGAAAATCCAACAAGCTGCTGAAGCTGCAGGAAAAGATCCCCTGACCTTCTGCACGGGTGTGTCCAAGCAGTTCAGACATCTCTTCAGCAGCTGCAACATATCGTACACAGACTACATAAGAACCACCGAGCAGAGACACCGTGAGGCTGTGGAGCATTTCTGGTCGGTGCTGTGGAACAAAGGGCTCATCTACAAGGGGAGTTACGAAGGCTGGTACTCCACGCAAGATGAAAGCTTTCTTATGCCCTCTCAAGTCGGTGATGCTTTGGACTCATTAGGGAAGGAGATCAAAGTGTCGCTGGAGAGTGGACACAAGGTAATTTCGATCAAACTGAGCAAACAATTTTTCCTTTTGTCTCTTGAGGAGCTTTAAGAAGTCTAGGAAAAATACGCCAACTTGAGCCTCTATAGTGTGTGACATTTACTGAGTAAGTGGTGCCTAACCATGGGTACGATTTTACCACAGACTATTTACTGCATGTAGTTCCTGTCTGTGCTCTACTGCCCTGCCAAATAAACACTGAAAATGCTTCCCAAACGAATTGTGAAATGGAGATTTTTATCCGTTTCCCCCTTTTCAGTGTTTATATTAAGCTATTTTTACTTCATTAACAACATTTCAAAAACAGATGATCTCGCCGCTGTTTTGCAGGTGGAGTGGATGAAAGAGGAGAACTATATGTTTCGCTTGTCTGCGTTTCAATCTCAGCTGCTTGACTGGCTCAGAGGAAATCCTCAGGCTATCCAGCCTGAGCGTTTTCACCAGGCCGTACTTAAGTGGTTGCAGGAAGACCTTCCCGACCTCTCGGTGTCCCGTCAGAGAAGCCGTCTTCAGTGGGGGATCCCAGTCCCCGGAGATGATGAACAGACTATCTACGTATGGCTAGATGCTCTGGTGAACTACCTCACAGTAGCTGGATATCCAGATAAACACAACCAATGGTGGCATGTGGCCCGCCATGTTATAGGAAAGGACATCCTAAAATTTCACGCCATCTACTGGCCAGCTTTTCTCCTAGGAGCTGGGCTGCCACTGCCACAGGTGATTCATGTGCACTCCCACTGGACAGTAGGAGGAAAGAAGATGTCTAAAAGTTTGGGCAATGTGGTCGATCCTCTTGAACGCTCACGAATGTTTACAGCTGACGGTATGAGATACTTCCTCCTGCGTCAGGGTGTTCCTGACTCGGACTGTGATTACACAGATGACAAAGTTGCCAAGCTGCTCAACGCTGAGCTCGCAGACTCTCTGGGTGGTTTGCTTAACCGCTGCACGGCACCAGCTCTCAACCCAGCTCAGGTCTACCCGTCTTTCTGTCCTCAGTCCTTCCCCAGAGCACACGGAGGCAGAGCTGTGCATGAAGACTACCACATGTTGGATGCTATACAGAAACTCCCAGCTGTGGTGGAAAAGCACTATGAGACTATGCATATATACAAAGCTCTGGAGGCCATCAGTGCCTGTGTGAGGCTCACCAATGGGTTTGTCCAGCGCCACACACCCTGGAAACTGGATAGGAAAAACAATGAAGACCAGCGCTGGGTAGACACCATCATTCATATCTCTCTTGAGTGTCTGAGGATATATGGCACACTTCTCCAGCCGATTGTGCCAGAGACTTCTAACAAATTGCTGTCACGACTTGGGGTGCAACCGCATGAGAGGAGCTGGGCAGGTCTGAACTTCCTGGCGAGGTACCAAGGAATGGACTGTCCTTTTGAAGGAAGAGCACTAGGATCTGACAGCGGGGTGCTGTTCAGTCGCTTGGAACCTCATAATGCCGACAAACAAAAACCTAAGAAAACAAAAAAGTCTGCAAATTTGAAATGAGGATGGTGTGGGTTTGTTTTTTAATGTAAGTGTGAGAGTTGTCACACACGCATCGCAACCATGAACCTTTTCCTCAGTGGTGGGTGTGAGAACCCAAAGATCTAACTCAGTCACACCGCACATTAGTATAAGGGTTTATATCTGATTGCGCTTGCACCAAAGTACTTAAGTGCATTCACTGCTAGCTGCACTTTATACTGCAGCACATTTGCTCAAACCAAGCAGAGTATTTCCAGTAGTGAGAATATATCTGAAGTCATTTCTTGTCGAGTGCTATGTGTCAGAAAGGACATCGGTCTCATTCGGATTCCAAAAATCTACAGTTCCTGTCTGAAAACAGCTGAAGCCTTCGTTTTAATATCATCACTCTGAACCGAATTGAGCCATAATTTAACATCTTTTTATTCTGTTGGATGTCAAACTGTCTGGATTGAAACTCTATTCTAAACAGTGTTAACCTGAAATGAAAACACCTGTATAGTTACGTGTATACAGGGTCTTTACACGTTGCTGTTTGTATTTCTCAGTGTTGAAATTTTTTTTGAAAACTCCAAGATTAGTTGTACTGAAAAAAACATTAAATACTACATATTTAATAGCTGCCCAGTCTCTGAACAGTTAGTCAAAGTGTCCTTCCACTCTTTCTACTAATCGCTATAGTCCCAAGCTGAGGAAACACACCAACTGTAAGTTTTCCATTTACCAGTATGCCCCCTCTCTCCCAGTATTAAACACACAGACGTGAATAATGAACTGAAGCCTCAGTTCCATTTAGCTGGTTCACTTTCACAGTCCTTATAATAAGAACACCGTTTTATTTACTCATTATTGGAACACTTTTACAAAACAGTCATTTACGGTGGTATTTACATCAGTTTGATACATTTTATGCACTCGTCGTCACTTTCCTTCTCCCAGAGCTTGAAAAAGAGCAGCGAAAGATAAAAACTTTCACTACCAGGTTTTAAAAGAGGCAGCCAACACAAGTACCAGACATTAAAAACTGACATGATTTTTAATGAGAAATACACGAAACTGAAAAAATTGTACAAATTGAAAATAAAAAAAAAATTGCATTATTCTTAAAATTTGTGGTAATTTTTTTCTTTACATAGGCTCCATCATTAAGCATTACGTGTTTACTTCAGATAAGGATCACTCCATTGATATTCTATAATTACACAAGTGACACGAGATCATCTCTGATTGTTGCCTCAGTGGTCAACATTGGATTCGTTCATCTGTTTGGTGGTCCTTTGTGCCTTCAAGTCATCCCTCCTAACTACCTTCATGGGACTGGACACATGTATTCCCCCCATTCCACAGAGCAGGGCCTCCACTCTGCCCACCACTATGAACAAACATTATCAGTAATAAGAGTTGGTGCCCTGTGATGGTTGTGTACCTGGAAAACAGGGGAAAGGTTTATAAATGTGGAACAATGAGCACGCATTAGAAATGTGAGAAGATGCCACTGAAGATGTTTCTGACTTACTTGATAGTTGCTGTTGCAGCTGTCTGACCAGCGCTGCGGTCTGCTGTTGCTGCTGAGTCTGCTGCATTCCCGGTCGTGGGAACTAAAAGAGAGAGAGGGTACTTAAAACTATTTTTGCATCTTTATCCAAATTAACTCATTTTAAATAAACTCCAGTTGGATTTCCAACTTGGACGTCACAGCAGCCCGACTAGCCCAGGGTTAATGCGAGATGACAATAGTCCACAGAAACCTTAGTAAAACTGGCCAGTCTCTCTCCTTTAACCTCGATTTATTTAAAAAGCAGCCATTTAGCAGCAACTGAATATTTGGGGTGCCTGAATGCTCAAGTGAGCTGGTAAATGATCACAAACTGATCGGCCACTCGATAATGTTCACGCTGGTCTTCGGTAGCGAGTTCTTCACCAGGAATGACGTATGTTTTGGATTGCTATCATCCTGTAAGACAAAGTGACGACCCAGACCCAGTTTTGCTGCTCTAGTTTCATCTCATCTGACCAAAGGATGCACTTCCAGTATGCATGATCCCTCTCCAGGTTGTCGTTAGCACACTTCAGTCTGGCTTTAAAGTGTCTCTTCTGCAGAAGTGGAGTTTTTCAGTGCAGGATCCTAGTGACTGTCGAGTTCACTAGTGTCTTGGCAGTTGTTCTGGGGTCTTTAAACACATCTCTCATCGATTTTCTCTCCAGAAACATTTCCCTTCCTACCTCTGCCAGCCGCCTTCTGTGCTGTGTGGCTCTCTTAGAATTTCCTGATGATACTTTTCACTCCAGTTCTTGGCACTTGGAAATGCAGTGATAACTTTGTATAGCCATTTCCTGCTTTGTGAGTAGGGCTGTGCGATATGACCAAAATCTCATATCCCGATATAAGACATCTATCGTCCGATAA